CAACAGCACCAGCAGCACCGACGACAACAATGACGACGACCACCACCACGACGACAGCAATTCTAGTACCACCAACAATAGTATATGTCTAGCATAGACAAACCTTGCAAACATTTCATACAAGTTGTAATATTTACAAAATGTCCACCATCCAATAATACAGTGTCCAATTTTTAGATTCAATTCAATGTTCTTATATTGACCAGGAGGTAATATACACTCGTAGTACGTTTATGTTTGAGTAGTTAACATTACTGCTAACCACGCGTCTTTAATATATCAGAGTGACGGATAATGGCAGTAACGAAACCAAAATCACCATAATGGAGAGCTTTAATAGTTCATTTAATTCAACTATATATCCGCAAACTGACATGACCTTTTAACTATTTGCTGACCCCTCTGTCTCTTTAGAATTTGAAAGCGAATAAGACGACAACATAACACCACACACGGATTAAGAAGACATGGACGAGATGTCTGTTAGCAGCACATTACGTCTAGAATAAATATCCACACAAACAACGTACAAACATAAACAAGTATATACTACTCTTTTTCATAGTTTATAAGTTTTGTCGAAATTACAAAGCTTATGTGAAGGTATTTGAAATTCCTTGAATAAATTTGCAAAGAATACAAGAATTCGGCAAACACGGGTTAATACTTTCCGCCATTTTAAACCCAAATTTATTATATACTAGATGGCCAGGCTATTCGTATAGTTTCTATAGCTTTCGATTAGTTTAATACGGGGAATCCGTCACTGGGAAACAGTCTGCCATTTAGCTATGACGTTCTCGTATTGTATTTACAAGTTGTTGGTTAATGTTGTAGTATGCTAAATGTTGGTTAATGTTGTAGTCTGCTAAATGTTGGTTAATGTTGTAGTCTGCTAAATGTTGGTTAATGTTGTAGTCTGCTAAATGTTGGTTAATGTTGTAGTCTGCTAAATGTTGGTTAATGTTGTAGTCTGCTAAATGTTGGTTAATGTTGAAGTCTGCTAAATGTTGGTTAATGTTGTAGTCTGCTAAATGTTGGTTAATGTTGTAGTCTGCTAAATGTTGGTTAATGTTGTAGTCTGCTAAATGTTGGTTAATGTTGTAGTCTACTAAATGTTGGTTAATGTTGTAGTCTGCTAAATGTTGGTTAATGTTGTAGTCTGCTAAATGTTGCTTAATGTTGTAGTCTGCTAAATGATGGTTAATTTTGTAGTCTGCTAAATGTTGGTTAATGTTGTAGTATGCCGCTAAATGTTGGTATTCTTCAAAATGAAAACTGTGTGCTATCAATTGCACTTACCCCCTGCAGCTGCGTGATCCCACCACGTAAGTGAACACTGATTAGTTTTCAGGCCTGACAACGTTCTCGCATTGACGACTCTGGGCCTATCAACGATAGTCCATATTGTGACGTAGCCCACGAATACTGCTACTATGAATAATAGCCTTTTTATAAGACTCCTATCAGTTATTCGAATCCTAGCTGCTGAGCGAACCCGAAAGACTACCGATATCCTGTAAGAAAGGAGGTAGCACAATTTTAAAAGATTACAATAATGGTATTACCATCCTTGATGAGACAAAGGCGGAAAACGCCCAATAGAACAACTTCTTTTTATGATACCGACAATTAATTGCTCATCATTCTTTTGGGTCAGATCGGTCCGCTGTAGGAAGTACATACCAGTACAACTGTCAGAAGCGTTCGAAAGATGCTACATATTTCACCTCTCCTTGTACGCCCCCTGGGACTGTTACAAATAATGGGATTCCAGGAGTCGAAGACCCCTTTCAAAAGACGGGATCTTAATAGGAAAAGCAGGCTTACTAACGGAACATTTGTGCTTAGGATTTCACGCAGCGGACTATCAAACAAATATGAACATTAAATGCAGTAGGTTGACAACACATCTCAATAAAACGACGAAGTAGATTTAACTCCATTCTGGTGATTATTAGCTAGTTGACTAGTTTTTGACAGGTGAATCCGAAGTTAAGACTGTTTACGTCACATGGTATTACTAGGAAATGACGTCATGGTTTAATGGCAACGATCATCATGGGATGTCTTCAATTAATCCAAGCAACAGAAAAAGACATAACGCCGGTCACCTGAACCTGTGCGACGAATAGTCCAACATGTACCTTGTTATAATCATATGTGTCTGTGTTTTGATTTGAGCTTTTCTAAAGAGTGAGGGAGGGACAAAAGGAGGGCGGAATAGAGGGATTGATGATATTGTCTATTTCTAACAGCGCAAATCCGCGACATAATTAGATTTGGTTGCCATGGCAGGTCACAAAAAGCCCAGCTGAGACTTTTTCGATATTTTAAATTGTCAAAGCCAATTAGAGCACCTGGAATCGACAACAAAGTTGCGCATCAGCCAAATGGCACACTGAAAGATAAATCTCTCCGCCTAGGGACGAACGTAATGCATTTTTACAATGCAGATAATATCCGCGGAAGCAGCGAAGATACCATGACGGGTCTATTGGACGTGAATTAAAAGGCATAAGTTCTATCAGTATTTCACACTCGGTGATCGAACACTTGATGTTCAGTTCTTGTTGGCATTCATAGAAAATTCGGTAAAATTATTGCACTAATTGGTAGATAATGTTGAATAGGCCGATTATTGAAAGGTGTTTCCTGCGAGACAACATCAATGCTAATGCTGCCACGATTTGTCGTTGTTGTGCTACATACGTTGACCCCCCATTATGACAGAAAACATCGCATACATAGCTTGACACGCACAAGTGGTCAACATTATCAATATTGCCACTAAACATAGCCTTTAGGAACTATTGCTG